CACCATTCAACGGTGCACGGAAGGCTACAAACTGGTGGTCCCGGCCGCAAAACACTACAACGCAGTCCAGGCCCTCTTGGACAGGATGAAGCTGGAGTATTTCTCCCACGACGTCGAGGCCACCAAGCCGCTGAAAGTGGTGCTGCGTGGGCTCCACGACATGGACTCCACCACCTTAATGAACGAGATTAAGGCGAACGGCCTCAAGCCGGTCGAAATCCACAAGATGACCCGCAGCAAGGCCATCAAGTATCGTGACCAGCTCTACCTGGTCCATCTGGAGAAGAGCTCCACAACCGTGAAGGATCTCCAGACGACACGCACACTGTTCCACATCGTAGTGAAGTGGGAGCGGTATAAGCCGACCCACCGTGGCGTCACTCAGTGCTCGAACTGCCTATTGTTCGGGCACGGCACCAGGAACTGCCGCATGGCCAGCCACTGCATCAAATGCGGTAAAAACCACAAGATCGACGACTGCGACAGCATCGAGGAAGCCGCTCCCACATGCGCCAACTGCGGCGCCGCCCACAAGGCCACGAGTAAGGCCTGTCCGAAGCGGGCCGAATACGCCGAGATTCGGAAGAAGGCCTCGTCCAACAACCAGCCCGGTCGCAAGAAGGTTCCGGAAAACAACGCGCAGAACTTTCCTCCGTTATCACCGGTCCAACCACGGCCAATTCCAGTGTTGCCGCCGCTTCCGCTCAACCAACAGTTGGCTGCTGCCCAGTCAGCTGCCGCTGCAGTACCCGTTCAAGCCTCCGGGCCATCGACGGATCCCCCTGCTCCGGGATTGGCCGGTACAACCGGCGAAGCTACAGACGATTCTCCGCTGTCAACGGATGAGGTTGGCCCAGGCCATCATTATCAAGCGCACCTGCGCTACAAGAACACAACAGCGCCAAGATATCATCTCCTTCGTCGCTAATTATGGACCGTGAAGCCATAAAGATCGCCAACTGGAACGTTCGCTCCGTAGGGGCGAAAAACATTGAGCTTGCAGACTTCCTCCGCAAGCACGATATCGACGTAGGCCTTCTCACCGAGACCCACCTCAAGACCAGTGACAGCTTCTGGCTGCCCGACCACAGCATTGTCCGGCTTGATCGCACCAGCTCCAGGGGAGGCGGTGTCGCGGTCATCATCAAAAAGGCATCAAGTACTGCACCCTACCCCACTACCGCATTTCCATCATCGAGGCCGTCGGTCTACGGAAACATCGACCGGAAACGTCCGGTTCATCGCCGCCTACTGCCCCCGACAATGTACCGTTAGCAATGGTAGAGCACAGCAGTTCAAGAACGACCTTGCCATCATAACCCGCACCAATGCCCGCTTCGTAATCGGAGGGGACCTGAACGCCCGGCACGAGGCCTGGCGGAACTACCAGCAGAACCAGAACGGCCGCCTACTATTCGACCATTCCCAGCATGGTCTCTATTCCGTCTGGTTTCCGGACGAACCAACCTTTACATCATCGGCGGGCAACCCATCGACGCTGGACCTGTTCTTGGCAAACACCGGATTAGCCAAGCCGGTTGCCGTCAACGACCTGAGTTCGGACCACCAACTGGTGCTGACCGAGCTGGGCTGCAACGTGGCCCCTGCACCGAGCCTGCGCAAGGACTAACATCGAGTCAACTGGGTCCAGTTTCGGCACGTGGTCGACCGCCACATCGACGACAACCCACCGTTCGACACAGTGGAGGACATCGACCGGGCCCTGGAGGGTCTCCATCAAGCCATATCCGTGGCTGACGAAGAGTGCGTTCGACGAGTTCCTGTGAGGGGTAAGTTTCAAGCAATTGATTCCCACACCAAACTCTTTATTCGGCTCAGAAATGTTCGTAGACGCCAGTTTCAGCGGACTGGGGATCTGCAGCGTAAATACGAAATGGTCGATCTGAATCGGCAGATCGCTTCCAGAATGGTCTCAATCTGGAACGAGAGTTTCGGGCGGCTCGTTCAGAACCTGGACGACCGTTCCAGACCATTCTGGAAGGTTGCCAAGGTGCTGAAGTCTCACCCCAAGCCCATTCCACCACTTAGAGTCAATGACGAACGGCTTATCACCAACGAAGAGAAGGCCAATTCGATTGGGGAGCACATTGCCCAGTCGCATTTGCTTGGCTCCCCATTGTGCCGTCGCTCCAGAAGAACGGATTACAGAGGAACAAATTTGCTCAGCGCTAAAATACAGTAAGAACATGAAGGCTCCCGGGTTTGACGGAATATTCAACCTAGCGTTGAAAAATCTCAGCCCGAAGGTGCACTCGCTGCTGGCTGCCATCCTCACCAGATGCTTGGAGCTGCACTACTTTCCAAGCATCTGGAAGGTGGCAAAAATCATCTCGATCTGCAAACCTGGGAAAGACCCTTCACTACCGTCAAGCTACAGACCAATTAGCCTGCTCTCAGTGCTGAGCAAGCTGTTCGAAAAATTGATCCTCAGCCGACTGAACAAGTTTGTGGACGAACATGACATTCTTCTTCCGGAAACAGTTCGGGTTCCGCAAGGGGCATTTCACCAATCATCAGCTAGTGTGGGTGATGAATAACATCCGAAGTAACAAAGCTGTATCCAAGTCCACAGCCATGGCCTTGTTAGACGTCGAAAAGGCGTTTGACAATGTCTGGCACGACGGACTTATATACAAGCTTTGTAACTCCAATCCACCATACCTTGTGAAAATCACCCGTAACTACCTCCAGCAAAGGTCGTTCAGGGTGTCGTTGAATAGTTCGCTTTCGGGACAATTTCCGATCCCAGCAGGTGTTCCGCAAGGGAGTCTGCTGGGACCACTGCTTTACAGCATCTACACGTCGGACATCCCTCCTCTAGGAGACGGTTGCGTGTTCTTTCTGTTCGCAGATGACACCGCGATAGCCGTCAAGGGTAGGATGCCTCGTGAAATTACCAACAAGCTCCAACGATGCCTTGACACCTTTACTGATTATTCCACCACGTGGAAAATCAAAATCAACGCCTCGAAAACCCATGCGATCATGTTCCTTCACAGGCAATCGCCAAAACTTAAACCGTCTCCCTCCTGTACCGTAATAATGGATGGTACAAGGGTCGAGTGGTCCACTGATGTTACTTATCTCGGGATGTTGTTCGATGAGAAGCTCCTGTTCCGCTCGCACATAGAGAAAACCCTAGTTAAGTGCTCCGCCTTGGTTAGGTGTTTGTATCCGCTCATTTGCCGCAGATCCCGCCTCTCAAGGCAAAACAAACTGGTTGTCTACAAACAGATCATAGCCCACGCAATCTTCTATGCCGCCCCGGTGTGGGAATCGTGCGCTCAGACCCACAGGAACAAAATCCAGGTTGCACAGAATAGAGTGTTGAGGATGATCCTAGATCGTCCATTCGACACAAGAATAGCAGACCTCCATCAAGAGGCAGAAATTCCCAAAGTAGATTCCAAAATTGAGGATATGACAACCAAATTTATCCAAAAATGCAATCTTTCTGAACATGCTTTAACAAGCAATTTGTACATAGTAGGTGAAGTGTATATAGTAGATATAGTAAGCTGTAAATAGTAGTATTAAGTAGTTTCTCTTCAAATTCTAGAAACAAAACGAACCAATCCCACCAAGGTGGTCGATGAAGAAAGCAATCAAATTAAAATCAATCCCTCCAAAACACAAGCGATCATGTTCTTCCATCGGCAATCGCCCAAACTAAAACCGGCTCCTAGTACTGTAATTATGGATGACACAAGGGTTGAGTGGTCCGTTGAAGTAACCTATCTCGGGATGTTGTTCGATGAAAAGCTCCTCTTCCGTTCGCATGTAGAGAAAACTGTAGTCAAGTGTTCTGCCTTGGTTAGATGTCTGTATCCGTTGATTTGCCGCAGATCCCACCTCTCAAGGGTGAACAAACTGGCTGTCTACAAACAAATCATAGCACCTGCGATCATCTACGCAGCTTCGGTGTGGGAATCATGTGCAAAGACTCACAGGAACAAAATCCAGGTCGCTCAGAATAGAGTGCTGAGGATGGTACTTGATCGTCCTTTCGACACTAGAATAACAAATTTACACGAAGAGGCAAGCATTGCCAAAATAGATTCCAAAATTAACGAAATTAAGACTAAATTTGCACAAAAATGTAATACATCTGAACATGTTTTGATAAGCAATTTGTATACATATAGAGTAGATTAGGTGTATATAGTAGTTGTAGGTTAGTTGTAGTTGTAAATAGTAGTTATAAGTAGTCTCCTTTTTCAAATTTAAAACAAACCAATCCCACCGAGGTGGTCATTCTTAAAACAGGCCTGATAGGACTAGGAACTGTAATTAATAATAATTTAAATTCAAAAGAACTAAAGTTGAAAAAACGCATCTGTGTCACTTGATAAGTCATACATGTAAACCACACAAATACAGGAAATAAAGATCACTTACAGTCAAACAGTTAGCCTTTCATCCTGAGCAGTCAGCTTTTATTCTGCTGTCAAAAACAATAGCAGGGGTGAACCCGGCGTAGAGGTTAGCATTTATACCTCTCCTGCTAAAGTCACGAGAAAAAGAAGTCAATCGCCTTAGGATTTGCGCCGAAGACGCCAAAACGATTTAACGTAAAATCGCTTGTTTATTAGTGTTTCTGCACTTGTCGTCACACTTATAATGTGCGTAATGTGCTATATCAAAATCCCACAGTTGAATGAAATACAACAGATAAAAATACACTGCAAAACAGGTTGTGGGGTGTCTGTGAAAAAATTCCAACAAGATCGATTGAAAGTTTTCTCCCTCGGTATTAAACTTGTATAACAACTTCCAAGTTTTTTTCTTCTTTTTCAATCATGCAAATGAAGCGTTGTACCTCAATTTTTCTTGCCATACGCTAAACTGATAGCATATGTCTCAAATTTAAGATATTACATACGAAAGTTCATTCATCCCTTTTGCACATGTCAACCCACAAATTGTAACCCTTATCACAAAATACTCATTTCCACTTTTTCCATTTTCTCAAATTCCAGAACGCCACCATTCGCAACGCTATCGCACTCCGTCGTCACATCATGCGGTTGAGCTAAGCAGAATCAGACTTGCTGTTGTGCCGGTTCGTGACACAATTTTACCACCTTCCCCAGTAGCGCACTAAAAAACATTGTCTCCTGGGTAGAATCATTCTTACTCAAGAGAAGAAAAAATACATCAACCTTCCCGTGTTACCCACCTACCGTACAAGACAAGCATTCCAGATACATAGCTGCTGTGCTATTCCCTTATTCTGCCACTCTACAGGACCAGGATCCATCAGGCAGATATGTGAATATATGTACCACATTCCTGTTTCCACCTGTGAGCCATCAGACCAAACGAGACCCGAGCGAAAGTATGAATTATGATATGGGGAAATATTAATAGCTCCAGTGGTCGTCTTCCCTACATTCGACGAGCAGCAGCACATTAATCCTCTTGCCTGCCTGACTGCTACCCATCACACCTGAATCTCAGAGTTTTTGTACTGCTTTACACGAACGCGACCTGTTGTAAACGGAGTCAAGAATCCAAAGGCAGTGCGCGCAGGAGGAAAGAAAAGCGAAAGCACACCTTTTAAGGATATTAAAGCTTACCGGGGTACAGCTTTACGTAACCGTTCCGTTGGATCCGGGCCAGGAGAAGATTCGCTCGCCGACGAAAAAAGACGGAAGAAAATTTAAATTACCCAACACCGTGTAATGATAAGTGATTATTAAGTGAGAGATCTTAGATAAAACGGTTTTTTGTGCTTTGGATTTTCCACACGGGGTCGCAGCAGAAGACCGTTGGAGAGGTACGAGGTGAAAGAGCAGAAAGACACGCGGTTGATAAAGGAAAATAAATTGCTTTTCACTGCTCCCAAGCTCCCTGTACGATACTTACACAACTACCGCCAGAGTGAACTGACTACTAATATTGGCTAGCGGTAGTACAACAACTGGTAGAGTGAAGAAAAATCGCGGCTTTTCATCGCATACGGTCTGTATAAGTGCGCGTGGCTCCGACTCAGCAAGGATATCGTGGACGAACGAGCGAAAAAGAAGCTTTGAATCATTGGAACCATCACGCTGGGAAGCCCGACGTAGGGAGTGGGAAATAAATTAAAAATCATATTCACTGATAAATTACCTCTCGTGTGTATAGTGTTAGGCTCGTAAGCGAATGTGAGTGGTTGAGTAAGTGCAGTTCGAGTTAAAAGGAAGGAAAATAAATTCTACACCCATTTAGAAGAAAGGCAACCGCGATAAGGACTGCCGGCCCTTAGAGAGTGCATCCATTGCGAGGATTTTAAATTTATTGAAGGTAAGTGGATGTGTATTTATTGTTCTGGAAATTTATACATTAATTTACCATTTCTCGTACACCAGTAAGCGAAAGAGGAATACGGGGTTAAACAGCCTCCACCCATAATGTACACGTGGTATATGGACAGCCCCTAGGATTATGGGAAGTTATTTCTGCTGTTTTGTTGTTGTTGTTGTAGTTGTTCACAGAGTACACTAGATAGTTGTTACTATCCGAAGACCCTCATTTTTTTACAAATTCTGCACAAAAAATACTCGCTATGCTCCGCCCTTAACGGGATTTCTCCTCGTTTTTATTAATTGGGTGGGGTTTATAAATTATATTTTGTGCAGAATATGTAAAAAGGAGGGACTTCGATTGTTAATCTAAATTCAAATTTAGACATATAGGTACCATACATGTTTTGCAGTGTCAGGTACTCTATTTTTTAGTCTGTGAGAGGAAAATCTCAAATCGAGTGTCATTAAAATACAAGGCATGTTGAGAGATTGAGCTTGTGAGGGAGTATTCTCCTTCAAATTTGAATTGTTTGGCTCTCTGGGGGTTGGTAGTAAAAAATGTACGGGAATAAACTTTTTGACGTAGACTACGTCTTCCGGAAAGGTTAAGGGGGTAAATCGAAAATCTAAAATTGCGACCGTTGCGAAAAGGTGTTAGGTTCTGAGCGCTTATAACTTTGTCATTTATAGATGAAATTATAATCCAAATACACCAATCGATAGGAAATTACTCCACGAATCAAAACTTTAACATTTTTTTATTAAAAAAAATTAAGGGTTGTGTCCTGACAAGACTGCAGTGTGACGTAGAAACTACGCAAAATTGATGCATGCAAGTATTTCAATGTTTCGGTTATGGTTCAAAACTCGCGACAATTCATGTTAGCATAATCAGACCACGGTTCATCTTACGCATGAGATAATGTATTTAAATTTAATGTAATGGTTAAGAATTGACAGAATTTCCCCTACATAACTACCTTGGGTAGATCAATGTTGAGCTATTTTCTGTGATCAATGTACACTAGATTTGCACCTCAGTATAGTGATGTGATGTGATGTGAATAGAACCCACCATCAGTGCAAGGATTACCTATGACTGCAGATACTTCACTGGTTGTAAAGTTCTGCCTGATGGTTTGTTGCAGCTGGGTGAATCAACTTCATTGAAGACCTTTGGAAGACAAACGACAAGATGTACGTCTATCAACACGTGACAAGGGACTGGCAAATCCACGAACCCTTTGTCCAGTCTTCACATCCTTTGAAACCCTTAGGCTGCCTCCCCCCCCCCCCCCCCAAACCCAGCATATAATAATGTTTGATTAATGAAATGTATTCAAAAAAGGGTTATTTAGAGAGAACAATCTTCAACTGGAACGTACTCACCAAATCAATATATCCGGGAGCGCATTCCCGATGCTTAATTTTCTCTAGTCATTTTTAAACAATTCCCCCTATAGCGAATCCAACCACACAATGAGATTTGCACCTCAGTAAAGTACACAAAAACGCCATGCATGTTGTGGGATAAAACTATTGCAAAATATACATTAATTTTTTTCAGTAACTTCACTATAAGTTTTAAATAGGGTTTCTGAAGCAGAGAAGAAAGTGAAGATTGCGTTTTATGATAACGCAACAGGCAGTTGTTTTACCTGTCAGAAGACGGTACTTTAAATGTTGAACAAAATGTTGGTTCATATGTTAACGAAGTAGGGGAGTAAGGGGCATAACGATCATACGGGGTTTAAACACCTCTTTGTTCTCCAATTTGGTGGACAACCCTAACATAAAATTACCATGCATCATCATTATGTACTTTACAGCGTGTTCGTAAAATGATTGCAAAATAGAATACTATGACTTTTCTCAAACTAAACGTTTGGTTTTCAATAAGTAGGTGCTTAGTACAACATTAATTAAAAATTACTGGATTCAGCTATTGAATTTCAAAAGTCCGAGCAAAAGCTCGTATACAAGTTCTCCACCTGTTTAATGTTTTAATAGTAAACATCATAGTTAAGGTACACCGGTACAATTTGAAACAGTACGTATATCTCTTAGTGTAAGTGTATATTCACTGTAATTATTTTTGAGAGGCATTGTGCACTACCGCACACTATTTAAGAAATAATCTCAATGATTATTCACTTCCGCTAAGAGCTACATCTACCGTTTCAACTTCCCCACGTGTTTCTACTTGGTGTAGGGTAATGGATTTTGGTTGGACCTATTCATGTCATTTTCGCATTGCGTCTAAATGTATGCCGTGTTTTTTTCTATGAATATTACATATGGACATGAAAAAGGTATGTTTGGTGAAAAAGTCTAACTTTCTAGTTTCTAATAAAACTAAAGAATGAACAATGTTCTCAAAATAGGATTTTAATGAAGCGTGGGTTCGTAATCACACAAGCGTTCCTGAGTAATTAATCATTTTGTTCGACCATTTTCCACAGAGATGGCGCTGTTCCGCTGGTAGGAAGTGATAAAAATCCCCATATAGAAATTGAGAGAAGTGGGAATAATTCGCTTTCGGTGCATATTCAGGTGGAAAAAAAGTGAACGACAACCTAAAGAAATTAATCAGGGACTTTGTCGTTCAGTTTTTTCCAGGAAATTATTGTTAAACAAGCTACAATTAATTAAACATGATTTTCCCCATACAATTTTACCTGCTCTACTACCAGTTCCCAGAGAGTCAAAAAATTCAAATTTGAGAGAAAATTTTCTCTCACGACCTCAATCTCTCAACATGCCATGTATTTTGTTGACACTCGATTTGTGATTTCCCTTTCAAAGATTACAAAATAAAGTACCTGACACTACAAAACATGTCTGGTACCTCTATATATGCATTTGCTTTAACATTTGAAGTCCCTCCTTTTTTACATATTCTGCGCAAAAGATACTTTATGCCCCGCCCCATACATAAAATTCGGCGGGAAATTCTGTGAGGGGTGAGCTATTTTGTGTGCAGAATGTGTAAAAAAGGAGGGACTTCGAACAATAATCTAAATGCATAGATAGAGGTACCAGACATGTTTTGCACTGCAGTGTCCTCTGTGAACAATTAACGGAAAACAGATTGTGTGTAGTTTCCGATAGATGTCACCGCAAACACTGCAGTGACATCTGATGGAACATGAATGCAGAAGCTTGACAAAATGATCAATTGCGATAATTGGAAACAGTAGATAGAGCTTCTTTCTCAATGATGCACGGTACATGCATTTGGGTTAACATCCGACGTAGCTCCTTCTTTACATATTCTGCACAAAAAATACGTTCTAAGCCCTGCCCCTGGCAGGATTTCCCACCTTTTTTTTAAAGAATGGGGCGGGGCAGAAAGTATCTTTTGTGCAGAATATTAAAACATATTCGTAATGTAATATTCTATCGATTGGCGTATTTGGATTTTAATTTCATCTATAAATGACAAAGTTACAAGCGTTCAAAACCTAACACTATTTCACCACACATATTTTTTGATTTGCTCCCCAGTATAGTCGACAAAGACGTAGTTCTACGTCAAAAAACTTCCGAAAAATGTACAAATAAAACGTGATAATGTCATCAATGTTTTCATGGAATAAACAAAACCCAAACCCAGTCGTCATAACCACCAGGTTGCACCATAGAGGTACATCTAAAACTAGTAGGTCCCGAAGGAAGGAGCTCTACTTTTTGGCTCAGCTCTGGTACTATCTTCGGTCCCAAGCTAATCGATTCACCCCTCGAAACATAGGAAAATCCACTAACCCCTCATTTTATCTGTCAAACTTTCATAGCGAATCAAAACAAACATAGTGTAGTACTGGAATTTATACTAGAATGGGGTACGTTAGTCGATTTGCTTGGGACCAATAGGCTAGTCAAGTAGTGAGCCAAATCAAAAATCGTTAGTTTCGTATTGATTGTTGGTTGCACATCGTACTTCTTGAACCTGAAAAGATATAAAACAGCGCTGGTGTCGTGCCTCCGCTCATTTTCGCTGAGCAGGTACCAGCAACAGCCAGCAATAGGAAGTCAGCAGTTACAGGTGGAATTTTCTCTCTCTTTCTGCCGACGAACAGAAAAACATCCTCGCAGCCAGCGTTGCCAGGTCAATTTCAGAAAAATCTGGTCCAGTTAAAATTCAAAATCTGGAAAAATCTGGAATGCTCAAAAATCCATGTTTTTAACATAATACTATTGAAATCAAAGTGATGTGTCAATCTCCCGTAAAAATCGGTCAGTATGATCATCTGGAATTTATTCAAAGTACCCGAATGTTAATGAATTACATGTTTAAAAAATTATATAAAGCAAACTTGTTAGCATTGTTAAAATCATCCAAAAGTTAAGAAAAGTGTGTGACACAGTGTACCCAAAAGTTAAAATATCCATTACGCATCATTTCAAAATTGAGTTAAATTGTTGGTAAAATACTGCTGAGAATATTTTTGGATTTTGAAGCAGCAAAGAATCAAGCAACTTTGATGGGATGAATTTTTTCAACTAATGGTCGATTTAGTCCTTACTATTTGATGCTGAATAATCCAGTATCCTTTCCTTGGAGAGGTGAAGAGGTAACATTGGTCCCATGTTAAACAACGATGAATGAATTAATCATTCCCTCAGGACTTTGAAGGTGCTAGAGTTGCTGATAGATTAGTTTCAAGCAAGATTTTATTGATTATAGAGCTCCCTATATAATGTTTTCTAGGTCAAGAATAATTAAAACAATCACTATAGAAACAACCCTCTCTATCATTCTTATTTTCGGGCTAATTTTCCCGCAGTTAGATAATCGTTTAATAAATGTATAATAGTGTATAATTAAACGCTACTTCACATCAGCAATGATGTAAAAAGCGCTAAATAATTTCTCAACACCAACTAGTTCAATGTTGTGGACACTCTTTCGTATATGAAGCCAAAACGGAGAAAAGCATAAATATTATTACCATCGTCACTTGAACTATCCAACACAATCATTCTTCGAAAAATTGC